CCCTGCGATGGTCGTGTCTGGGGATATTTCGACAACCCGCCCGCGAATCGGCAAGCCGGGGCCGCCATTCTCAACCGTGTGTGGCCATTTTATCGCCCCCCCCCCCCCCCCCCCCCCCCAATCATCGCATCATGGCCCTGGGTCTCCATCGTGATTGGAGGCACGATAATTCATGGCGGACGTAGGAATGGATTCTGTACCAAGCCGCGGCGCCATTGCGAGGCGGTGAAGCCTCGGCCCATGCTGACGTAGTGTAGATATATGAGTCGACAAGGCATGGGTCTCAGGTGACATGGCCTTCCTCGTCAAAGCCTTCCTACAGTATGGACAGTAATGTTTTTGATCGTACATCCTACCTTGATACGTGAGCGCATCAATGACGAGTGCTCCCGGTCGCTCCAAAGGCTGTGGCCATCACGAAGCATTGATGATCGCCCTAGACTGCAAGTTACCGACTGCACAAGATCGAGCAGACATGCGAAACACGGACATCCACAGCTTATGGTTTCGTGATTGGCTAGAGGCCTGCCTTATCGATCAACGCACGCGAGAATTGCTTTGATATTCGGTACTATTTCCCTTCCTCTGCAACCCTCCTTGCAGGCTGCCAGCTTTCTTCCCGCCACCACGTTTCCGTAATTTCATCTTCCATTTCCACCTCTCATTAACCCATCTCCACTGCAACCACAAGCCCCCATGGCTACTGCAACAGCGGCTATCGACAACCAGGCCGAGAAATGATCGACATCCCTTACGCGGCTGCTCAAAGAAACTCGACCCATTGTTCGGTCACTCCAGACTGATATTAGACTCAGGAATTGGCCGTACAAGATTACCCTGCCAGATGAGAACCCCGTCATGCTCGCGGGAACTATGCTCACGAGCAGTTATGCAGACGGTGGCTAGGATAGCCTCTTAGAACTTATGCCAGGCCTTTCGAGCTTTTCTGAAAAAAAAAAAAAAAAAAAAAAAAAAAAAAAAAGACTTTAGTAGTGTAATCGATCTGTAAGAAAACAAGCTATGTTACTCTGTACTACTACCTATATAAGCCCAGTCGTGGAATGGCGTATTCCTTCTCTTTGTCTCGGGAGAGTTCCATTTACTCCGGACCGAGCACACAATGGCCCGAAGAGTGTTATAAGACTCCGACGTCTAACGTAACCACTAGCTAGTCTGATTTATACAAGAAGCTAGTGACGACCCCTAATATGGCGCCGGGGGAAGGTGTGAAACTTAACTTGAGGGAGGTACTCTTTCTGCCTACAACAATCGACAGCAAAGGACCAAGAACTGTGGTTCGCTCTTTAGCTCATACGACCGTGCGGACCATGTTTACGCATCACTCTAGTAATGCTCCAGGTTTTGCCCCAATGTCTGGAATAGGCCTTTCCCCCGAGAAAGTAAAGACTTCAAATTTTGGAACTAGTGACATGCAGGAGTTACCTTTCTACAACGACAAGACCATGTCCTGTAAGGTAACGTAGCCGCAATACGTGCATGAGAGCAAGCCTCAAACCATGAAGCAGGTTGCAAAAAACCAAGCCTTGAATACGTGGTAGTGCGCGTGGCAGAGACTGATAGGTAGTGGCATCTCCTTTAGCAGTGCCCCTTGCTGGTCCAGCTTACCCTAGATTACGTTGCGATCGCAGTAGAGAAACAAAGCCGGGCAAGTGCCATTAGCAGTCTCAGAGCCATTTGTCATTGGAAAAGACATGAAGTTGTGGTGCATCCGGGCGAAAGTAACCAAACCGAAGAAGAGCCTACCAGAAGCAAGGATAGGCTGGTCTGCGAACGTCGTGTTGATGCTGCCCATCGATGCCGACAGTCTCAACAGCCCTTCTCGGACTCTGCTCTGATTCGCTCATTTGCAGGACTCATGCAAAATTTTCTAGAACACATCTGCTGCAGTAGCTAGTGGGCCTTTCAAGGATTCATTGTTGAATGACATGCTCTTAATACCACCTCACCTTTCCAAGCTAGAGCACCGAAACGCCTCGCCCATTAACCCAAAAACCTATATCGCTTCGCCGTCCGTGCTTCTCAAAGGCATGCGAAGCGGCGCCCCTTCTGAGTTGTATAACTACTTATACGTCCTGATTAAGATACTTATGCCATCTCGGATTTTTTTTCACTTGTTCAAACTCGCAGCAAAACCATTGCTCCCATCGCTATTACAAAATACGGTAACTATGAGAAAAAACTTGATAACGACGAAACAAGCAAATGTAGAATGATCTAGGTCAGCCCATATTGGCCCGGACAATATCGTGTACTGTACATATTAGCGCATTCTTGCCCGCCTGGGGCATGATGGTGATAGAAAGAACAGAACACAAGACGAGGAAAATTTTGACGAAAGGGGGAAAAAGAGAAGCAACCAGGCTATCATTGGCTATTTGAACATGCGCAACGGCATTTGGCGAGCCGTACTATCGCCCATTTGGCACAAGCCTACCTAGTCTGGGGAGCCGAGGAACAAGTTGAGATCGATCAACCCGTTCATACCCTGCATTTCCCACAATATTGTGCATACGGAACCGATTCCCGCTGCATCCGGGAAGATAAAGCCCGGTGCTGGGAGCCAGGGTCTCAATACAAATTTACGGTGCGTATATTCTTATGCGTAGGGGGGTTACGGTAGTTGGTATACGTAGGTACACCTGTCAAAGGGGGCAAAAAGATACCAAGCGCTTCTAAAACGATGAAGTAAAAGAAATAACAAAATGTCCGTGTTGTTCGCAACGATGGTTCGACCTCATACGACGCACAATGATGGATGATGCGACGACGGCGTAGGTGCATTTCCTTGAGCCGTCGTTCTCTGAACAGCCCCAGTCTTCGGAACCCAGAATGACCCTGTCTATAACCTGGCAGCCTGTCGTCCACTCACCTCCCTATCCTAGGTAGATCTATACTACCTAGCGTATAAAGATACCGGCCCATGTCCCATGCGAGGAATACTATGTAGGGTAGAGTCGAGAGACTCACATGCGACAACAGCCTATATGGGATGAACTGCGGCCTTTGGGCGGCATACTGAAATCCCCCCTTCCGACCCCATGCCACATGTATCCGAGTACATTGTTTTATTTTCTCTTTGCCGCGAGAACACCACAATCTTTAGGTATGAATGACATTGGCGCAAATAGTTTCCTTTCGAGCCCATATCGGCCATGCCGTATGTACACCTGCATTAGTCAGTCCACTCTCAGTCTCCAAGAAAAGCCGCCCGCCGCGACGGCAACCGATCCATTTGGTGACATCCCATGGTGTCTCTGGGGTGGCCAGACTGTCTTGCGGGGGTGTGTATATTCTCGTCGTGAGATGCTGCACTCATCCCTTCTCTATACCAGTCTTATATTCAGTGAGAAGATAACCTATTTTAGTAATTAAAAACGTTAAGCATATAATCTGCTCGTCATCCCCCTACAGCCATGACGTCGATATGGCCTAGCCAATCTACGGTATCAGAATACTTGATGGCGATGGCAAGCTGTTTACGATAGTGCCTGCACCCCACGCTCATCAACAAGCCGTACTTTACATATTGGCTATAGAGAGCGTTCCCGGCCACGATCAACATTGGCTCGAGTCTTTTAAGTTAGATAGCTTACCGCCAACGCGGCACACAAAGCAAGACATTCAAGGAGAAATATGGTCAGGCAAGCCTATCTAACCCCCACGACGCCGAGCTGTGACAAGGATATGGGGCCGGTTCGTGCATTGGGGCATCGTAGTGATGTTCGGAGCTGGCCTTCGGCTCTTCCTCGCTGCCTTCTGGCGCTTTGGTATCCGAGCGCTGGTCATTGGACCACCAAGGAGCTTCTTTCTCTTCTTGGGCTATCTTCGTCACCCCATATCGATGGGAGGGAAGCGCTCTTTTCCCTCTCGATTGCGAGCAGTATCATATGGTCCGGTTCAGTGTTCGCACGAGGGAGCGGGGAGCGGGACAATAGGTCCGGCCGGCGAAATAAGCTTGTGGGGTATACTTCCCGCCTCATTTGGTGTATGGATGTCTCTGCGGATTGGCAATTTGAGCAACCCGACCTGCGACCGGATTCAGACACTTGGACATATCGACACGGGCCAATGTCAAGTACCTGATACCTGCTAGTTGGTGATATTGGCGTATGAGCGTCTACCGGTGCCGAGTGAGGCCGGTCATGAAAGATATCTCCTCGCAACGTAGCCTCTATTCGACGTCAAATCAATGTAGAGAGGATAAGGATCCGGGTATCTCGTCGCGTGAAAGCATGAATGTGTGAAAGGAATACTAGTCGCATCTCACGACATTCATTCATTAGACAGCAGCAAAACACAAGGTTGGCAATGGTCAAAAAGAGGTTAGGCATATTAGTAATCAAGAAACTGGCTGCAGAACCATTCAATTTTAAATATAGTGCTTTTGCCAAAACCCTGTTTTCACATACCGGTATGTGGTGCGTCGTGTCAAAGCTGAAATCAGCGCATCGCCAAGTGTGGCGTCCTGCATTGCACGGTAATATTTTCCGACGGTAATACTTGCCCTACGGGCCTGATAATGAGGTTGTACGAACCGAGTTATAGATCCCCATTCGTCAACACTATGGGTTCCCCTCACGTAGCTAAAGATTCGTGGGTTGGTGTGTGAATGTCTCATTGAGGCCCCCTCACACGCCACTCTCTCGCCGTTTCTTTACCCCTCCTTCAGTCTCACCATCCCGCTTCGAAGCATTCTTCAGGGGCCTCGCCGAGTATCGCATCATGGTAGACGTGGTAAGAAAAGAGTATGACGCGGAAGCAACTAATTACGACACCAATTTGTCTGCTACGTTGCCCCTCATTCGTCTTGACAACGAGCTGTTCATCTCCGCGATTGGCGATGCGACAGGTGCCGTAATTCTGGACCTGGCCGGCGGCTCTGGGGTGAAAGCTCGCTTTGCGATTAATGCCGGTGCTGCAGCCGTGGATATTATCGATATCTCCCCTGGAATGATGCGCGAGGGCCAAAACATAGAGGCAACCTTGAACCGCGACGTGATGCGCTGGTTTGAAGCAGACATCTCGCAGCCGCTCGATCAGTTGGTCTCCCAAAGTCATTCATTTCCCCTCGAAACAGGGCTTAAACCTTGTTGCTCTTATATTCTCCAGAACGAGAATTAAATTCTCGTTCTGAGCGGTAGTGACTGACCAACGAATGGATAGTCTCCCTCTAAAACCACAGTATGACATAGTGATGGCCAACTGGCCTTTCGACCACGTAGAAAACATGGACGTTCTTGAAGGCATGTTCCGCAACATTGAGAAGTATCTGGTTAGTCTTCAGGAATCATGAATTTCCCCCATGGTCAGGTTTTGCGTCTCATTGCTCCCGCACGCTTCGAAACACGGTTGATTTCTCAGTTTCTCTAGTATTTACTAACTCCATAATGTAAACAGAAGCCGGGGGGCCGATTCCTCGGCGCCCGCACCTGCAACCCCCGTGTGCCAGAAATGATCAAAGGTAGTCTAGGCGCCAAATACGCAAACTTTGAGGACATACCTGGCGGAGTTAGGTATCGATTTTCCTTAGACTCGTTCGAAAGCGATATTGTGGCCTCAAGTATGGAAGCAACTTACTCGGGATCAACAGAGATTTATGAGAAGTTTGGGCTGGTTGATATTCAAGTCGAGCCATATGAGAATGCTAAGGTCGTCAAGGAGCACCCAAAGCTCTGGGAGGCATACCTTCAGGAACCAGGTATGGCTATGGTGAAAGCCACGAAGAAAATTTGATTCGTTCGGGAGAAGTCCAGAAGCGGCATGTATGGGCATCCAATATTGCTGGGTTGATGTCCAGAGCATAGTCGTTCTTGGCACCCACTCTCGGCATCCCGGCGTGTTATTGCAGAGCAATAATTTTCATGCACCTTGTTGAGGGTTTATCACCGCTCACTACTCACATACGAGTAACTAATGAAGCTATCCCACGAAGCCTTTTCTGATGTATCCATGGCATAACCCCTATGGATGGAAGTCGTAAGGATGCTGGATTCACTGAGACAAGGTGGGGTCATAGTCGTGACGTACTTGGTTGTATAATAATGATGATGATCATCGTCATACACTCACTGCACATTCACAGCTTGACCTGCCTTTTATATATCGAGACGTAAGCTTCCGGCTTTGTTGAGGCAGTTTGATAGATAATATGATTGGGTACATCACGAAACGAGCCAAACTGTAGAGTATGTTCACCAATTGTTCACGATGCTGTCTCGCTCAGTTCGTCTAAGTCAACGCGCCCTTTCAGGCAGGGCCCAGACACTAGCTCCCATCGCCCAGCGTCATTACGCCGAATCGCATTTTCCGGGTGCCAAAGTAGAGTCACTTGGGCACAGCCAGATATGGAAAGTAAGTGAAGCGATTAAGGAAGACCATAAGCAATTGAAGGACTACTACCACCGCGCTGTCAACTCGAAAGATCCAGATGAGCAGGAACGCTACGGCAATGCTTTTATATGGGAATTGGCGCGCCACTCTATCGCAGAGGAGCTTGTAGTATACCCGGCATTTGAGCGAGACGTACAGGATGGCCAGAACATCGCCGACAACGACAGGGACCAGCATCAAACTGTACGGCCTGAACCCCAGTGCATTAGTGATCTCAGTCTGTCGCTAACTCTCGCGTTTTTATCTTCAGATTAAGGAGCAACTCTATGAGTTCCAGAAGCTCAAACCTCGAGATGAAGCATATGTTCCCACCCTGCAATCGCTCTTCAAAAATCTGGAGACTCACATAAAGGAAGAAGAGGAAGACCATCTCGTCAAGCTGGAGAATAGTCTTAGCTTGACGGAGTCGAAGGAGCTAAGCCAGAGCTTTGAACGGACTAAGATGTTCACTCCGACGCGGTCGCACCCTTCAGCCCCCAACAAGCGCCCTTTCGAGACCGTTGTCGGCCTCATGACGGCGCCTGTTGACAAGCTTAGGGATCTTCTCTTCACCAAATTTCCAGAGAAGAAAATGCCCGACATAGGACATATGGAACATGGAGTAGGAAAATCAGACCGGTGATCGAGTCTCGCTCATGTCAATGGGCTTGTATGTTGGATGACGGAAATGAAGATATGTGTTGAAGTACGTGCCAGAGCTCAATGAATAGAGATAATAACATCGTTACGATAATATATATTCATTGGGGACTGTCGCGTCCAACTGCTTGATTAGCTGAGGTACTGGTTGCTGTGAGGGAGCCAAAAACGCTCAATAAAGTACATAGTAGGCGAAGCTACCAAAAGAAGCTAAGTCTAACGACAGTAACACGGAAAGGGTCAAAGATACTACTGAAGGACCAAGGCCAAGCCCAGTGTTGAGAATGAGCGCATCAAGACGCTGCAGTCACGAGGCGAGTCCTTTCGCTACCTCGTGCGTCTGCTGCAAGTCTTCGAGATCGCATTGGACTAGCTCGATGCGTGATACGTCGCCGTATTTCTAGAGCGCGTCCTGAGCTTCAGATAGATTCTCCTCTTTCCTGCCTACTAGGTAGAGTCTTGCGCAGTTGTGCTGTAGGATATGTGCTGGGATGCCGTGGTCTGGGATGTCTGTGTTAGGGTTAAATTTATTTGAGGATCCAAACACACTTGAGTATTATTTCAGATTATAGATTCCTCCTCATTCTCTTCAGTTATGGAGTTCTTTCTAGCTTTATTGTCTGTAATGGCTTGTTCTTTATGGTTTATGAGGACTAATGTCCGAATAGAAGGCTTCTGACATTGATGACGTCAAGATATCGAACGCCATACAGATGCCATTATGATGACTACCTGAAGACTACGGCTCATTCTTCAGAGACACTTATTAAACCTACTTGATGAATCACTACACTATCTCCGATGCCCACCCTTGGTGTACGACTTATCCGGAGATTGGATAGTTGCGAACTGATAATATCACCCTATAGAGGAGCTAACCCTTAACACGTTAGGGGCGGGTAAAAGTAGCTAAAGGTAAACCTGGTATAGAGATTTTGGATTTAAATGTGGAACATGTGGTACACACGATGGCCAAGTTCTTCTTTTGCAGATAGGATGAGATATAGCAGCCCCGAATCAATCGACAGCAGTATACTATGCTTATTAGCGATCAGTCTGTTCCAGCTTCAAGTTCTCAATGGGAGCAGAGGGGAACCACTTTGCTATTGGCTTTTTGATCGTCCCAAGTGACATATTTGCTTAGATAAAATTATAGAGCTCAGACCTGATATTTCTACTAAGAGTGTACCGGTAGATCGTGCATAGTGGGATAAGTAGCGAGATCTAACGAGCAGCTTGACAACCCGCTTCTCTGTTTTCAACTCATAGTCTACTTAGAAAAAGGTGAAGCGTATGGTACAAATGGCTAGCGTATACTGCACTTAGGGATCGTAGGTAGGCTAGATGTGTTGTAACCACAACGCTATGGCTCGCTCGTGATTCTACTCGTAGGTAACGAATGTCTTCTCCTCACAATACCTACCTAGGCACGCACATTTTGAATAGGATCTAATGTCTGAACTAAACAGGCAGATTATATTTAGGAAGGATTGACAGAAATTTGAGCATCTGATTAGATACTGTCCTCATATCTCGGCTACAGCGTGGGGGTCTTGAACCCCCCATCTCATTGTGAATGGCAAGCGTTCATGCATGCGCACACGCACGCGGCTAGCAGGCACACCTAGGGGTGGCCGTTGCGAAAACGAAGACATCCTTCTCCATGTCCCTGTACTTGATCGAGATATCCTACTCCATCGGGGAAAGTCGCGAGGCTTAGGCTCGAACAAAGATGATAACGACGGCTTGTACCAGTACTTGCACGCTTGGGACAACACGGCGGGCCACGTTCGGCAGGGATGAAAAGGACGCCCTGCATAACAATAGCATCAGGTGATCGGCTGAATTCGGGGTTTGTCGGTGACGGATGGAATCTCCAACATCCATCCATGTGTCCATGTGTCCATGTGTAGGTACCGATGTAGGCGGTGAGATTGACGTGTCCTGACGGCGTCGGCCAATGGGCATCCTGACTCTAGCCCAAAGGGGCCCAGAAAGGAGTTCGTTCGGGAGATCACGTTCACCTGCGTACCCTCATGTCCAACGTTGTTGGTTCTTTTATTTTGTCACCGTCACATTGTTCATAGCCACCCTCGGACCATGTCTCCCTAATAGCGCATCTCATAATGTCTGCTATCGTTCTACTTGACGTTGATGCTGCTGATGCCGCTGCCAAATACAGTATCCCGCCTTTCCTTCCTGTCCCATACGATAACTCCGTCGCTCTTTCGCTTGAAGTACAGGATACGATGTTGCGGGATAAACTCTTCATCCGTCTGTTCCGACTTCCATGCATCGAGTGCCCTCTCTTTCGTCCCCAAAAACCGATCCTCGTAACCAACGATGTAGTCGCCGCTGTCCATGTGCGGATCCCAACGTATCCTATTGATGACATCAGATGAAGAACGAAACTTGCCAATATAGGCTGGGCGTGCAGCATGGCTCGCAAACGCCAAATTCTTTTTCTTCTTGGATTTTGATTTGCCAGCATGTGCAACGTGCTCCTCGTCATCAGAGTCAACCGATATCTCATCTTCCTCTTCCTCTTCGTCGTCGAAGTCATCGTCACCAATTGTATAATCACCCCATTCACGACTGTCGAGTTGCAGTCTTCCAAGTTCTGATCGATTAGTAAGCGATGCACTCATCCACGAGCAAGTTGAATCAAAGTATTTCTCGTCGCCCCGGATTTGCGCTTCAAACTTTTGCAGGGCAGCACGTAATGAGCCCAGCGTTGTCTTCATTTCATCTTTGGACACATTTTCGTCGTCAGTCCCCTCGAACTTAGTTAGACCGATAAGATAGGAGCCTTGATAGTCCGCTTCATTGTCAGAAACATCTTCGTTGACGAATCGTGCAGGCCAGATCCGGGCATGGATATTGGGAACGCGCCGATTTAAATCTGAATGAGAGCCCTATTAGCAGAGTCGTAAGTAAATCGTATGGAACAGGACTTACCGACTAAGAGCATTACGCATCTAGACTCCAGCCAGCCCACATAGCTACTACCCTTTGCTAACGAGACTCCCCAAAATTGAACATCAATCTTGACGAAGGTTTTATATGAGGCCAAAAACTCCTCAAATCCTTGGGTCTCGCTCAGGAATACTGTCCAATTGGTACCCTGTTGCGATAGTTGTGTACTCGCTCGTTTGAATTCGTTGGAGATTGTCGATACGGAAGGTAATGATGCATTAAGTGCTGTGTTGAGACTGGGAGGATAGAATCCTAGAATGGCCATTGGTTCTCTAGCTGTGCGGACGTACCGAAGCTGTTTGTGAAAGAATGGATCAAATGCCAATTGCGTATTCCAATTGAAATTAGCATAATGGTGGAAGAACGTTGTCAGTATGGATGGCAAAGGAACGATTCTCCCTCCATGTGATAGAAGCTTACACACTCTAGTCAATAAGACAGAGATCTGAATTCCGCTTAACATGCCAAATTTTGCCGAGTAAATACCGCGCTGCTTTGCCCAGTATCTAATCAGGTGGTAAGCAGTTCGAAAAGCAGCATAGTCGGGGATAGTCCGTCGAATGTAGTACATGTCCCTCACTGGCTTCAGCTTCGCTAACGTCTGAACTGGTAACGCAAACATGGGGTCTTTAGCGGGTAGTCTCATCACATGTGGCCAAGCCTCAGCAATAGCTGCCGAGGGACAATACTGTAGGTCCATCTTGATGCCTAACACCTCGAGCTCGAGCATGGTGCCAGAATGGGCATTAACTCTTCTCCGGAGTCTGATACCTTTGTCCTCAGCCTTGCGAATCCTCTGCGTCGCTAAAGTAAAGAAGGTTTTGGCACTGATTGGTCCAATACAAAGACAGTCGATATCCGATGATGCTGTCCAAACACCCAGCCCATATGAACCCACTGGGACGAGCACGAAGGAGGGGTTGCCTCGTGCTGTACTGGAGTTGTGCTCCAATACAACATCTTTCAACAACTCCAGTCCTTCTTTCCGCCTGGTAATGTCTGCTTCTGAAGGAAAGACATCTAAGTCGCCGAGGCAACTCTTGAGCTGAGAAGTATCGCTTAGAGAGTCTTGGGCTGGGCTGAGGTGTACTGGTACAGAAAGCTCGGCTGCACTTAGGTCTGCTCCTTTATTGAATTTTAACGAGCATCTGACTCCCCAGTGGTCACTAGCATACGAAACAAAGGGCATAGGTTGGCCCTCAATTTCGCTTGCGTTCTCTGAAGTCTTTCCGTCCAAGCAGCCTGGCCTTCGGCCAAATAAATCAAAGTTGGTAACAATGAAGTCCTCCCCACTGACAAGTATCCGGTCATATCTCTGGGGTCTATTATTGAATCCACTGCCGACACTCTCGGCCGCCAGGTCATTGATCGTGGGATCGAACGTCGCTCCTTGCTCGCCCTCATAGATCGCTACCTGGCGCTCGAAGTCATGTTCGAGATCCATGTGGTCGCCGTACTGAACCCGAGCAGATGCCCAAGCGTCTATTAGTCGCGCTTCGTTAAAACTGTTCTCAAGATCGCTAAGGTGTGCGATTGTTTGCGATGAGATCTCCTTTCTCCTGAACGCGGCTTCAATCGTGTGAGTACTGGTGGTAATGTTGAAGTCACCAGCCAGGATCCAGGGGTTCTGTGAATAATTTTGCGTCAGATGAGTGAGAAGGGCTTGAAGCTCTTGTTTTTTAGATGAAACAGAGCCATCGTTGAGACCGCTAGTTAAATGAATGGTCGATAGAATGACTGGTACGAAGGTATCCCCGCGTTGCTTTCCAATGTTCCTGAACGTGACGATCATCGAACCCTTATGACGTCTGTTAAACGATAGCCATGTCCAGGAGAAAGGGCACCTGCTGAGAACCACAACGTTCAGGTGATTTGGAAGTGGTCCGATGTCATCTTGATCCGGGGGTCCGTGGCTGACGAATCGATAGTGCTTGCGGATATCATTGTTATGGCAGATGAACGAAAGAAAATCGTCAGTAACTTCCTGCAGGATCAGAATATCGGCCAGGATGGCTTCCTGAAGGATGTTTTGAACAAGGAGTGGATATCTGGCCTTCAAAGGGGGATATTTAAACTCCGCTAAAACGTTGTAACTTGCGACACTTAAGGAATCAACGCCGATCTCTTCGGATGACTCTACGTGAGAAAATGGATGCAAACCCCATTTCCCTCCATCTAGTAGAGTATACGGAAAATTGACGAGAGATCCATCCTCTTTAACAGCCTCTGATACTCCTTCTATCGAGTCGATAAGCAGTTTGCTTTGGTTGAACTGCTCAGGTGAATCGGTGGTGTCTAGAGAGAAAGTAGTGAGGTCGACTTGAACGTTCAAAGTTAGCGTCCTCTCTCTACCTAGGAATTTCTAGAACGTAAAGGGCTTGAATTGAGTCAAAATATCCAATTTAACAGTGTGTCTAGAACCGGAGAGTCCTACTACTGATTTCAGGATAATGGGGTTTTGATGTGACTCACTGGTTCCCCAGACTCTCATCTGGCTAAAGGCATTTCCATCAACTATCCTTCGCTCTCGAACCATGATACATAGTTTATCGACTGTCCATTCTACTTCGGGCAATAGAGATGCCTTTTCTAGGAGGAACTTGTGAGAGTCACTGTTGAGTTCTTCGCTTTGTCCGATCGTCATGTGCATGCGATAGCCCGTTGTTGAAGTTTGACCCAATGCTGTCAAGATAGCCTGTCGCAAAGTATATAGCCTCGCGATTCGCTCATCATCATTATCATATACGAAAATCGTGTTATCGTGCTTATGAGAAAAGACATCGGCAGCAGCAAGACGAATTTTGACGCCGCCTATACTCATTTGAGACGCAACTGACGTAATCATCTCGGACTATATGGATTCACGCGTTAGATTATACTTCTGATGCATGTAAAAGCTGAGAATTCAGTATATTCATCAGGCGCTTCCAAATGTGCGGAAACTGGGCTAAAGCGAAAAAATAAAAGGGGGGGAGGGGGTTATGGATGCACGTACCGCCCTTGACAGGTTCTCGATTTGAACGTATGGATAGACAAGGTTGATGTGAGGCGGCCATTTTTCATAACCTTTATCATACAAGCGTCGAAGCCCATCAAACAAGGGCCAATAGCGCTTTGGAGGAAGCACACATAACGCGGTATCATGCGAATTAAAGGGTATAGTTTCAGGGCCTGATGAAGCTCCCTCGACCGCCATGACCACGTTCGATTATTGTCGACGATATACGAAATACAAATGGGTATGAAGAAATGCGCGAAGAATGAAAAATCCAAGAGGGTATCCAAAGCAATGGCTTGCTGAGCTGGCGTGCAAAAGCCAGAATCAAGAAAAACTAAAGTGAATCCAAGTAACATGTGAAATAATATGTATTCTATTTGGTTTCGAAACACTTGGTTATCTACCTGGGCAGGTACTTAGGATATCTAATGAGAAAAGGCCAGATAGCTGTACTACTTAGCTATATATCTATATATAAACTGTTATGTGGAGAGATGAACTCATCTTTGCAGCTCTTGAAGTTTAGGTGAATGATTCATAATGAGTAGCATCACAGCTCCAGCCATACGAAGTCCCGGGCAAATTTGATTGGGTTGAAGGCAGCTATCAATGGGGGCTTCGGGGTGAGTCAGTCAGGACGTTTCAGTGTTCAAACTTAGGCGACTCACAGGTACCAAGCACAGACTAGGAGCAACTAAACCCCCTCTGAAGCTCTTAAGAGATACCTAGGTACCACCGAGTACTTAGGTAGGTACGTCAGGTACATGTACACAGCCACTCACCATTGAATCCACTGCCGGTGATACTCGGAGGATACAGATTTCCTAAAATGGGTGTTTTAATTGATGGCGCGTATCTACGACGCGGTGCCACAAAAACGCGCCAGAAAACACGATATCGTCCTCCCCCACTTTCCACCATTCCACACTTCGAACTACCTGCAACAAGTTACCGTCCATACCTCAACCCAAAACCAGAAGTCAGAAGCCAAAAGCCAGATACAAGTATTAGAGGGATATTCACGGTAATAAGGCTTGTTTATCTCTGGCTACCTCGTGAAGATTGATCCGTGCAACCACCAACAACGAAAGTCGTGGCCATCATGGACCCCCTTCTGCTTCGAGATGAGGCGGCCAAGGAGCGCATTCGCCTGGCTTCAGAATTCCTTGACCCTCGTAAGTGTCACAGTTCAAGTATAAACACATTTTTGGGTTGCTGACGCTTGCCCCTCTCTAAACAGACGATCAACATGTCAGGAGTTACCGATCCGACATTATTCTCATGCTCCAGAAGAACCAGAGACGGCTCGTCGTTAATCTCGATCACGTTCGTGACCACAATTCTGAGCTGGCAGACGGCCTGCTCTTCGATCCCTTCGACTACATTGTCGCCTTCAACTATGCACTCAAAAAGGTTGTTGAGACCATTCCACAAGCACGTCCCGACCAAACGCATGAAGACGTACTATATTACTGCGCCTGGGCTGGCAGCTTCGGCCTCAACGCCTGCAACCCCAGAACGTTATCATCCAATCACCTCAATCACATGGTGTCCATTGAAGGCATCGTTACTAGGTGCTCTCTGATAAGACCCAAGGTAGCCAGAAGCGTACATTTCAACGAAAAGAAGAATATCTTCCATTACCGTGACTATCGTGACCAAACAACAACCACTGGCGTCACCACCTCGAGCGTCTACCCCCAAGAAGATGAAGACGGAAATCCTTTGCTTACCGAGTACGGTTTCTGCACGTACAGGGACCATCAAACAATATCAATACAAGAAATGCCCGAACGAGCCCCTGCTGGACAGCTTCCTCGTGGCGTAGATGTTGTTTTAGATGATGATCTCGTCGATAAGGTCAAACCAGGCGATAGAATCCAACTTGTTGGTATTTTTAGAACACTCGGTAATAGGAACACGAACCACAATAGTGCGTTATTTAAGACGGTCATATTGGCAAACAATATAGTTCTTCTCTCGTCGAAGGCTAGCGGAGGGGTAGCCACGGCTACAATCACCGATACTGATATCCGCAATATAAACAAGATTTCGAAGAAGAAAAACCTCTTGCAACTACTTTCTCAGTCATTAGCGCCTAGTATATACGGCCACGATTATATCAAGAAGGCAATACTGCTAATGCTGCTGGGTGGCATGGAGAAGAATCTGGAAAACGGAACACATTTGAGAGGCGATATCAACATTCTGATGGTTGGTGACCCCTCTACCGCAAAATCCCAACTTCTACGATTTGTTCTCAATACAGCGCCCTTGGCCATTGCAACTACAGGTCGTGGCTCGTCTGGCGTTGGTTTGACAGCAGCTGTCACGTCGGACAAGGAGACGGGTGAGAGAAGGCTAGAAGCCGGCGCCATGGTGATGGCAGATCGAGGAGTTGTTTGTATCGATGAATTTGACAAAATGTCCGACATCGACCGTGTTGCAATTCACGAAGTGATGGAACAGCAGACCGTCACAATAGCGAAAGCTGGTATTCATACATCCTTGAATGCTCGGTGTAGCGTTATCGCTGCAGCCAACCCAATCTTCGGCCAGTACGATACGCACAAAGACCCTCACAAAAACATCGCTCTCCCAGACTCGCTCTTATCGCGTTTTGATCTTTTGTTTGTTGTCACAGATGACATTGAAGACAGCCGGGACCGCCAAGTGTCCGAGCACGTTTTGCGTATGCACCGTTATCGGCAGCCGGGTTCCGATGAGGGCGCACCCGTCCGCGAAAATACATCTCAGTCTCTTGGCGTGGCCCTCCAGAGCCAAGATGCAACACAGAAACCAACCGATGTATATGAGAAATACGATGCTATGTTGCACGCTGGCGTAACTGTAACATCTGGTCGTGGAGCCAACAAACGTCATGAAGTGCTCAGTATACCATTCATGAAGAAATACATACAATACTGTAAGACCCGAGTCAAACCTGTTCTGACTCAGGCCGCCTCAGATCGTATCGCAGAAATTTATGTGGGTCTGCGCAATGATGAAATGGAAGGGAACCAGAGGAGGACGTCGCCATTGACTGTCCGAACGCTGGAAACCTTGATTCGTCTCGCAACTGCGCACGCAAAATCCCGACTGTCAAACAGAGTAGAAGAACGAGATGCAACAGCAGCGGAAGCGATTTTACGATTTGCGCTTTTCAAAGAAGTAGTCGAAGACGAGTCCCGAAAAAAGCGTAGACGGACACGGCAAGTCGAATCAGACTCTTCAGACGAAGAGAGCCCCGACGATGATGATGGTGATGGCACATACAGAGGCTCCACGGCTCGTACTACTACTACTACTACAACCTCAACACGAAGGACGGGTCTTGGCCAGTCCTCAACTAATGGCGGCCGTTCGAACGGTGCTGCCAACCGCAGGGCAGCTGATACTCCTGAGGCAGAGCATGTTGAAGAAGATATATACGACGCCACGCCTCGTCAGACTAACCGTACCACTCGCGGAACTGCTACGTCGTCCAACGAGCCTTCTACATCTCAGATCTCGTTTGCTTCTTCGATACCTGCTTCACAGCTCGAAACACGAGAAGCAACTCAGGAGGAAACCCAAGAGGAAGCTGACCTCGCCGCTGGCACTGCCAGTCTCAATCTCGGCGCACCTATCACACCAGAGCGGCTTGCCGTATTCCGCACCACACTTGGACGGCTTCTCAATTCCGACCTTTTTGAAGACGACGCAGCAGGTCCGGACAAGGTAATCGAAGCAGTTAACGGACGGCTAGGAAGAAGAGACGCATCATTCTCACAAGAAGAAGCCATCAAGGCACTTAGACAATTAGATGCTATAGGTGCAATTATGTAAGTGTTATCCTATTCCCAACAAAGCAAGAGATAATCGTTATTAACCTACGATCAGGTTTAGTGAAAATGATGAAGATGGTGGGCTAGTGTACAAGATTTGATACACCAGCGCAAGATAGTGCACAGGCGCACGTTTTGGTATGATGGAATGGAAATGGCGTTTGCCGGCAAACCAAGAGATCTGTGATAACAGCCACTCACTTGTTGTGAGGTAGGCTCCTATAATCGATTGTGATATAGTGGCAAGACAGATGCACGTGGAGACGAGCGAGATGATACCTCAATATCAGTGCAGTTGTGGAGTGCTGCATATGGAATGGCAATGCTATCCTCCTTGTAGAAAGCGGCAGGAGATTCTGACATAGTAAAGGCTCTTAACCAATCGAAAGTTGCAAGCAATACTTGACCAAGTCGTTACTCCTGCAATAGAAGTCTTGAGTCACTCAGTACTCTCTCTCAATTAATAGATACCAATCTCACATCAATCTGACAATGCCTTGCCGACTGATCCTAGGTAGTTATCCTACACCATAGGCAATCAGCTGTTTTCATGGAAGCTGCGTACGCACGGGCGCTCAGGAATAGCCTTAATCAAGTTGCTTCCACTGCAATTGTGGCATCTGCTGCCTTGTGAACTGCGGAATACAACTCAACCCTCCTCAGCTTCTCACTTCTAGCACATACAACTACACACGCACACATATCTTGTTCACTCTCCCTCTCGCTTGTACCAGCATCATTACTAAGTAAGTACCCATCTTTCCCCCTTGGATTACCTCCAGATTTCTCCATCGCGGCACACGGCACCTTCCTCTACACTTCACACATTGACAACAATCTTTTTCTAGAGATTTAATTCTTCATGAAGTTAGAGTGTTCTTTCATCTTCTCAAGCCGAGGTGAGGTTTCGAAAGACGACAGCTATAAATCATCTTAACAGAAACGACATTCAGCTTCTTGACTCACTCACTTTCGATCTCACCAGGCTTCCTTGGTTAAGTCGCCATGATCCACCATAGTTGCAGATCAGAGTCACACACCGCTTCTGGGTAAAGTAATTACAGCGCCGTTGTCACCTCGTTCTCCTACATTTGGGCTATTTCACTCAGACCGGTTTTGCAATAGGAGCATGCGCCTTCCGTTTCAAACAGCTGCCCATGCAACCATTCCACTAACGCATACACATCTACACAAAACACCGTAGAGATTGCCCGAAGCGTCGCTCTTCAATCATAGCTCGTACTCGAATATTAATAATACCTACTTCTGACGCCCTCAACCGGCTCTTCCTTCCAATTCACCGTCATCAGCATATCACGAATATTCCATAATTAATACTTATCGTTTCTTGTACATCCACGAGGCATTTCTAACTGTCATCAATCTACCCCTACGCCTTTTGCACCTTTCTCAGATATCTTCAATTCTTCAAGCTCTCACTATCTCATGCTGGGCGACCATGGAGCAACACAACTCTAAAGGCATCCTATGGGAGAACGCCAGCTCAGATTTAGGCAAGAGGGGTATGGATTCTATCACGGCATCTATAGCCTATGATGATAATCCGTTCTCAAACCGGCAGAGAAAATCAGTCAAGGATAAACACCAGGAAAAGGGAACACCATGTTCTTATTTGACTGCAAACAACACTAGCAGTAGTGCAAATAAATCGTCTTCGAAGGTGTCCAAAGAAGTCAAGAATTTCTCTAAGCTTAGCAGCAGAGTAGCAGATGCCACCTCTGAGAATAGTAATAAGGGAAAGAGAAGAAGCTCTAACTGTTCGATGGAAGCAACACCCAAGAAGAAGCAGAAAATACGCTTAACAAAGGTTGCTCGCCGAAAGATCGAGATCAAGAACCAAATAGTGAACATGGGCGTTTGGAGGCCAAGAGAGACAGACACAGAATCCGAGGCACTCGCGTACACCCCAGAGAAGTATAAGCGAGAGGAAAGGGAGTTTGCAGAAGCCAAGGAGCTACTTGGAAACAAATATAAAAGTCACACAGAGAAAGAAGAGTGTGGTAATGAACTAGGGTTCATTGAAGGGATGGTAACTCAATTACGCGACTACCAGACTGTTGGTGCCGCATTCATGTTGCGCCAGGAACGATCACAAAAAACCTGTCGTGGTGGGATTATTGCCGATGATATGGGCCTAGGAAAGACCGTCCAGTCTATTGCTTGCCTTCTTCTTAACCCCCCACCCAGCAAGGCAATCCAGAGCAGACGCAGTGCGACTCTAATCATAGTCCCCAATAAAGGACTCCTGAAACAATGGATTGGGGAGTTAGAGAAGCACACAGACATCACCGAAGACTATGTGTGCGAATACCGCGGAGGAATGAAGGCTGTGGGGATAGCAGCGCACCCCTATGTGTATGTTCGATTTTTCTTATACTATTATCGTCGATGACTGATCTTTTTTTTATAGGTTTGCAACCTACAGCCAAGTTGTCAAAGACTTCAAAGGCGGCAATGGACCACTATTCAAAATTGAATTCTTCCGTATCATACTTGATGAAGGCGACAACATCAAGAACCTCTACGGAATGAGTAAGCATTTAACATGCACGATTACTGTAATGAAACAACTGACACCGACAATAGCCTCCAAAGCGTGTGCAGCATTGAAGGCGAAACTGAAATGGGTACTCTCGGGGACTCCTCTACGGAATGGTGTGGACGGTAGTAAAAATGCCTTACACTGCAGGTCGTCTTTGAACTAACATGACTCAGAATGTATCCCATACTTTCGATTCCTCGGCATTGATTTCCACGAAGAGCTGACTGCCTTCACTAAGAGATGGGGAGATCCCGAATCGGTGAGTTTCTAACACCTCTAGGGCGAAGTAAGCATGTTGCTTATTCCATTCAAGAATAGCATGCGTGATCGAACGATGCAGATCCTAGCTAAAATAATGCTTCGCCGGTATGTCTACTCACTATCCGACCAACTAAGATCTTATCTAATGCTCATCCTCAGAGAATCTGGTCAAATGTACATAGGGCGACCAGTGTGCAAGCTGCCACAATCGCATCTCGAAGACAGAATAGTTTCTATTACAGATGAAGAGAGAGCACTTTCTAGGTACGTGGTGAAATTGACAATCCTAGGCAGCTCTAACTTTCTTTCAAGGCACTTGGAACTGGCCATGCGTCGTTTAATGGAGGAAGCTATGAAGGATAGGGAGATGGAGGGCTTAGTGGGAGAGGTTGAGGGTGATGATTGTGATGAATGTGATGAGGGACTCGAAAATGGAGATGAAGAAAAAGACGAGAATAGGAAGAAAGTAAAAGGTAGCTACACGAAAGCACTCAAACCAAGCTTCCGCCTACGGATTAACTGGCTCCGACAAGCAGTCGATCATCCATTCCTTCTAGAGAGATGCATCAAAGCCTTTATGAATCCAGAAGAATTGAGGAACTTGATCGCAGAGCTGGACAAAATCGAGTCATCTAAGAAGACAAATGAGCACGGCACTCCATCTTCAGATCAAACTTCAAGCATACAGCCAGGAGGGCTGAGCATCTATTCAATCGCACTCGAAATTGCACTCGACATGAAATATCACATTAGTGATGTACTTCAGTCTAAGAACGATAGCGAAAATGATGACTGCACTCAGTGCCCTTCCAATGTTGGACGTCAATCGCTCGAGGTAAAGCCCCATGGCCATCAATAGGCATGCCTAGCTTGACTAACCTCTAAGTAGTGCGGACATAGTATGTGTCGAGGTTGCTACGAGAAGTCAATTGGCGATGTAGCTACAAAAAGCAGAGCCCATTTCAAGTGTGTCATATGCGGCAAAACTGTCGCTTCTATCAAAACGGAGGACGATGATGACGATAAACCTTCACTTCAAGAAGCGCCAATGAAACTCAGAGACGAAGTTTTTCGAATGCCAGATGGTCGGAGGGTACTAGTAGAAGTGAGCAATTACCAAAGGAAAGGGGATGATTTCAATGAGAGACAACCGCAATTGGAGCAATCAAGTAGTCGTTGGCTCCACAAGTGCGACGAGAAGGGTCAAGTCACCGCAAGCACCAAGACCATGGCTGCCGTCCAAACAGTCGAGGAATGGCTGGAAATAGCCCCAGGAGACAAGATTGTGATTTTCACAGAGTGGTATGTCTCTGCTCAAGTTATAGGGCGGCTGCTCAATGAACGTAACATAAACTTTGTTTACTACAATGGAGGAATTAGTGTGAAGGATAGGGCAAAGAACCTTGAAGATTTCAAGATCAAGGGTAATATCAAAGTTATGATCATGGGGGTGAAAGCTGGCAATGTTGGTCTCAACATCACCTGGGCCAACCGAATGATTATAATGAATCCATGGTGGAACCAAGGATCTGAACTCCAAGCATTTGGCCGTATAAAACGCCACGGTCAGCAAAAAGAGACATACCTAGTCTGTCTATTTGCTAAAGATACCATCGACGAGCGAATTCTTAAGTTACAGGGTGAAAAGATGGCCGATATCAGAGATGCGATGAGCCAAGGGAGAAAGCCAAAACCGCTATCACACGACGAGAAGTACTGGCTATTGACAGACCTAGATGCTCTAGAACCTTCATTGGCCGGGTCTGGCAAGAAAGGCGAGGACAGTGAAGATGACGTGGATGATACCGCTGCGTCAGATCCTAAAGATGGCGCTTAATTCTACCCAGCTAGTACTGGAGCTGATAGACTCGTTTATTAGCTGCCTGGCCAGTCTGTCGCATGCGATAGCGCTTGGGGATAGAGACTATGGATCTTGAGTTCACAGGTCATTGGTGTATTGAGAGGGAGGATACTGAGGTGATAATGACGACAACGTGGCCTTGACTATGAAACTTCTTCACAACACCGCGAGGATCAGATCATATGATGGAGGCTTCGAGTAGCCCAATGAGCCGTGAATCTTATTCGCATTTACAAAACGATACAAGAAACACGATGGACTCTACGTAGCTAGGCAGAACAGAAAGGAGTGGGCCGTTTAGCAGATATCACCTCTTAGGTACTTTACAATTTATGCGTTGCTTTCCCAGTCCTGATGCGATTCAGCTTTTATTCAATACCTACAGTGACATCAAGCCAATAGCAGTGTTGATTGAACATTATTAAGTGATTCCATAGTAGGCTATACACATCATGATACTGGAAAACCTTATAAGTTAACTAATCTACTATGGCGAACTCTCAGTTTAGTATAATTGTTAGAATCTTGCGATGAACCACCTCTAGGTGGATGTGGTAAAGGCGACTATCACAAATTTATTCCTAAATGCAGCATAGCTATGTTATGCTGACCGTTTATACGAGGGTTCCATGCCACAGCAGACCGACTGCCTAGTATTCTCGATGCCTATAAGTGACTTCAGCCCTTTCGATCATGGCTACACACCCTCCCTGATTACTGTATGCGAAGGACCGCCGTTACTGGCTAGCTAAGACTTGCATGGTTAGCATGACTCCCATCAGTACAGACTTAGTATCTAGGAATGCTTTCAACGTCAAGTAGAGCTTTCATGAGTAGCCAGAAACCTAGGCCGCATATTGTGAGACGGCAATGGTGTCCAGGGCAGACAAGCCGAGTCTTGACACTATCGTATGACCAATCATTGAAGGAAGCTCTATTTGCCCGAAGTTGTGAAGTTGAAACACGCCGAGTCAATTCTCGATGCATACTTTCTCAGAGATCTGGGTGCGCCAAGCATAGAAAGTGACATATCCGGCCCTCCAACTCACAAAGGAGACTCTGCTTCGTTCTGCTTCGATGTCCACAGTGCCATCTCGTCTTTTGACTTCCACTGACGGTATTTCGAAGTACACGCTTTAGGCCAAGGAACAAGGAACAAGGAACAAGAGGAGGAGGAGGAGGAGTAAGAGGAAGTAAGAAATGAGTAATTGACCAAGTGAAGAAGAGTCTTTCCCCAGTCCCGGCCGCACACCTCTTTCCCCTTTCTCCAGAGTCGAGCCGGTGAACAGGAGTTCGCGCATCAAACTGTTATCGGTGCCACAAGCATCAATGATGTAGCAGTCAATGCACATAGTCTAATTGTGATTCCTCGCTGTCGTTCGCCCGCCACATCTACCCAGCCGGAGTGCATCGCTGGTCCAAGTTCGCTGTGCCGGGCGGTTCAGATCTCGCTTATGCTGCGCGACACCAGCGAGACACCCATCCTTTATAGAATGGCATAGCCAAGCAGCGCAGACGTGACGAGGAGGTTAATGCTAGGGTGACCTACCGCGAAGGCTGGATTTGCTAACGGGCCGATATTCCAGCAGGTAGGGTGTGCGGATTTTGTCTCGGCCAAGCGCGCGGTCATCGACGACCAAGCAAGATCTACCGGAGAAATCCTTCGGGCCCGAGTTGACTCTATGAACAACATCTTTTTCTTGCGTCTAGATGTTTTTCCTTGGGAAAGGTCTACATCAAGTAATTACCTAGCAGGTATTGGACGGGTAAAGCATTATCCTCTGTGGTTGGAGAATACCCCCATTTTCCCCTCCCCTTTTCCGCCTCAAATAGCCAACGACCCCATCTCGGAGATTTAAATATTCATTTATCCCCCTTACCCGTGCAATTGGCGAATGGAGAGTGAGGCGCAATGTTTCTTCCATGAGTTAGATTGCTACGCGGCTGCTACGCGGCCCAAGATTTGATTTCAAGATGATGAGAGACCCTCCTGCGTTGCGATCCGTGGCCATTGCCGTTACTGTCAATGATAAGGATGAGTAACCTACTATTCTGTATAGACCGCACAGTATCATACTTTGTTGACGATGCATTATCACGATGCTTGGATTGTGGAAAAGCGCGTACTTCTGAGAGATGCTGCACAATTGAAAAGCCTCCAGCGACTAGGTCACAGAAGCAGATATCGCCGGTTTATCCTCCCGAGGCGCGTTCAAGACTTGAGACGTCGCAAAACAACGTGTATTGACTTGCAATGAAGTAAGAAGCACCTCGTGCTCGAATCATGCAGTTGATTCGCATGCAATGGTGACGAACGAGGCCAAGATCGAGACATGAGTCCGGTATTCAGCATCGGCAATAAGAGCTAGTTACACAGCAGAAGGAGAAGCAAATGGTTATATAGCCACAGGCATCGACATATTGAAGGGCAGTAAGTGACTGGGGGAAAATTCAACGAACGATAACAATGAGGCGGCCCTACGGAAGCCCCTTGTCCTGCCCTGCATCATTGCATTTCCCCCCCTTTCCTATTGCTCGATGGCAACCACACCTGGTTCAGGGGACTCCGATTTGCGATTTGTCTGGGTGCGATTGATACAACCACGACAGGCTTCCCCTCAGCTTACCTAGCTGCATTATTAAAGCCTAATGAAATAGCTTGTCTACTGGAGTGTACCTATTTATGTATGGATATATCATGAGAGAGAGTGTGTGTGTATGCGTGTAGAGTGAAAAGCTCCGCAAGTTCGCAGATAGAATGAGACAGAAACAAGCCCAAGCATCAAGCCAAGCGGACGACGCTGCCGGCGAGGGCGTATCAGACTCGTAAACCAAGCCCGGAGCTCGACCCGGAGGCTCTCTGACCACTAGGAGGGTGTGCGTCGTATGATCCCTAAGACAGCAGGTGATGAAAATCGTGAGAACCAGATCAATCTATACCGAATAGTTTTCACCCGTTCGGGCCCGCTAATTGAGAATATGAACATACGTTCGTTGATGACTGGAAAAGGGCCCTGCTGCTGTGCTGCTATATTGCTACTATTACTATTGTTGCTTATGTTATAGTTCGCTGACTGCTGGTATGCGGCGCGTCCCGCGATATCATGACAAGCGGCCGGCGCGTGGGAAATGGGGGCTGCGCTATGGGTATTAGCGGCGGGAGACTCCAACGGTTGCATTTCCCGGGTGCGGGTCATATGGGATGAAATCTATCGAGTCCGCATAGACCTCGATCTGGCATGTGAAATCTGGGCGATGCCTTTTAGAAAAGCAAGTTTGGGTGACACTTGGCTTCTTCTGGACGGTTGAATAGCATTGAGAGAGGCGAGAGAGGCTTCTGTTTGGTCTCGGTAAGCTGAGGGATAGGCGAGGGCGTAGACTCAGCGTACATATCGTGTCTCGCTGCCAGTCTGTCTCGGAGGAGTCGTTGCTGTCTAGTTGATGGCCTGCCTTGTTTGGTAATTCTTGCATTGATGACGCAACTCCGTCAACCGGCAATCTATCTCACCCTCGAAGCCCACGACTTAAATAGACTCTCTATACAGCGCTCGCTGACGAGTGATACGAAGGCCATGCGAGGGATTCGTGGTGGCGACAAGACTTGGCTTATCCGAAAGATCTAGATCCTCGTATTATACTAAACATTCCTGAACCGAAATTCAGAGGACCGTGGTACTAGATCAGGGATGGTGTGAATGGCTATATATGGCTTGTCATTATATGCGATGTCTACCTATCCTAGATGGCTTTATATCAATTTCTAGCGGCTATCTAGTTCATATAGCATAGGCTTAATAGGCTACTACTGTATGCGCACAATGAATGGGACATGTTCCGTATCTGTAGAATACCAAGTAGATGGGGCTTGTGTAGTCAACCACATACCAAGTATATACACACGACATCCAGCTGTGATGCCGGATGGTGTTTCCGGAGGGCTTGGGTTGGCCCTGCTATCTCTCCGCATTGCCATTTGGTCGACTCCGGTTCACCCGGAGTTGCGCAGAATAGTGGCTATGAATAGCCCGTGGTACCGTTGGGCGAACCATTAACGTGGTCTGTTCTATCCGTCGCACCGGGGTCCATTCTATCTATACCTCACATACTGGCATCATTGAAAACTGGCTGCCATGCAAGACATCCCTTCTGGAAATATGTGAGATAGCTAATTGCTACCTGTTTCTATGTTGCTCTCACCATTCGCTCGCGCTTTTCGTCTTATCGTTTGGGAGTTGTGATGTGATGGGCAGGATCTGTCACGCGGGATACCTATCACGGGAATATTCACAGTCTTTAGATTAACGTAGAGAGTATGGCCTCATGTACTGGGCCACTTAAGGAGGATCGGAGTTCCTTTGATGCTTGGAGGGCATATCATACGCTTCCACGGAGAAACGCGATGCGCGTCTTCCAGATATGTAGACACATAACAAGCGGGATGATTGCTGAGTAGCCAATATCTAGCTTTCCTCAGCTTCGCGCTCGGGGACAATACGCCACAGTGTCTCCCCCCGCACCGCATCGTGGCGGCCACAGCTGCTGTCGCACCAGTGTGGGAAACCGTGGTCTCTGTTCTTATCTCTGCATTCCGCCTTGCACGTGGCTAAGCTAATGATGTTGGTTTGCGGCCTCTCGCACATATCCTGTCAACCGTGTCCTAAGAAAGCAAAGCAGTAAATGACTTGTAGCTACGGATATTGGTAAAGATGACCCAATTATTTTCCTCACCGAAAACATGCTTGTCATTTGGTAGACTCTGCGAGCTGGGTTTGCCGGTAATCAATTGCGTGTGGGGGTAGACTGTCAAGCAGCCTGCACCACTCCAGCTAGAAAATTTTGGTTGAGCCTCGTACTTTTGGCCCAAAGAAGAACGGCCCATTGATGACGGGACCGATTGGATCAACTATCGACCGGGATGCTTTGCGGAGGTTGAGACTGTCGAAGCTGTAATCAAGGTGACGATGGAGTGCTGCGGCGTTGGGCAGCCTTACACGTAACCCAAATGCTTCA